TACGTTAAAAGATATATATTTTTCATTATTGTTAATGTAAAAAATTTTTAATTTTGCACCAAAAGAATCTTAGAAAACTTACCTAACCTTATTATAACAAGCGCAATTTATTTTAGCCTAACCCAACTAAATATATTTTAGATTTGTTTACAATAATTTAATACTATACAAACACAGTGAAATATTTTTTTTTTCGTTAGGTTCAGAATGATTTTGGCGAAATTATTGCATACACAAATTTTCACTTGTCTTATATGGCAAGATGAGCGTTGCTATTTAAGCCAAGATCGCAAGTTCTTCCTATTCGGCACGACATATATATATATATATATATATATATATAATATATATATATATATAATATATATATATATATATATATATATATATATATATATATATGTGTGTGTGTGTGTGTTGGTGTGTGTGTGTGCGTGTGTGTGTGTGTGTGTGTGTGTGTGTCTGCTGACAAGTACACTTACAATTTTTGAATACATTCACCTCCTCCACACTCCTTCCCTCCAATCTGATATCCGATCTTTCATTACCCAAATTTTTTGTTATCCTCATCATCTTGCTCTTTCCAATGTTCACTTTTAATTTCCTTCTTTTACATATTATCCCAAACTCGCCCACCAACCTCTGCAACTTCTCTTCAGACTCCCCAGAAGTACAGTGTCATTACCATAAAAGCAACAGTGACAATTACCACTTTGTATTAGATTCTTTATCTTTTAATCACACACCTCTTGCCAACACCCGAGCATTCACTTCTCTTACAATCCCATCTATATATATATATTGAGCGGCCATAGTGACATCACACATCTCTGTCTAAGACTTATTTTACTGGGAAATACTCTCCCTCTCTCCTACATACTGAGTAACCCACCACCTCTTCCAAACACTTGAAACATCTGACAGATTGCTCCCTATGCACTTTATTATATGACTTCTTTAAATCCATAAATGCAACGAAAACCTCTTTAATCTTATGTAAATAGTGTTCACTTATCTGCTTCACTGTAAACACTTGGTCTACACACACTCTATCCTTCCTAAAGCCTCATTGTTCATCTGATGAATAAAGTTAGAGCTTCCCTATCTTCATCAACATTTAACACTTACTCAGAATATTCCTTCCATCATCCTGATACCTCCAGCTCTCCATATAATAACTCTCCTCTAATATTTTTAACTGTCAAGTCTAATTTCTTCTTATTCTAAGCAAAATTTGCTGATAGCATCTCACTCACTCCCATTGGTCCCCTTTTACATTCCTTCACAATTTTCTTAACCTCTCTTTTTCTCTCTTACGTCATCATTTCTTCAGTCGTTCATCTTACCTACCACACCCACCCTCCTATATCCACAAACTTCTGCTGAACACTCTAACACTGCACTCAATTTCCTATTTTTACATACCCTCCCAAATTTATCGACCAACCTTTGCAACACCTAGAAAATGTACAGAGAACTTTCACGGCGCGCATAACGGAGATAAAACACCTCAATTACTGGGAGCGCTTGAGGTTTCTAAACCTGTATTCCCTGGAACGCAGGAGGGAGAGATACATGATTATATACACCTGGAAAATCCTAGAGGGACTAGTACCGAACTTGCACACGAAAATCACTCACTACGAAAGCAAAAGACTTGGCAGACGATGCACCATCCCCCCAATGAAAAGCAGGGGTGTCACTAGCACGTTAAGAGACCATACAATAAGTGTCAGGGGACCGAGACTGTTCAACTGCCTCCCAGCACACATAAGGGGGATTACCAACAGACCCCTGGCAGTCTTCAAGCTGGCACTGGACAAGCACCTAAAGTCAGTTCCTGATCAGCCGGGCTGTGGCTCTTACGTTGGTTTGCGTGCAGCCAGCAGCAACAGCCTGGTTGATCAGGCGCTGATCCACCAGGAGGCCTGGTCACAGACCGGGCCGCGGGGGCGTTGACCCCCGAAACTCTCTCCAGGTAAACTCCAGGTAAACTTCTCTTCAGAATCTCCCACAAGCAGTGTCATCAGCAATAAGTAACTGTGACAACTCCCATTTTGTGTTAGAAACTTTATTGCCCAATCCTACACCTATTCCCAGCACCTCTGCATTCATTTCTCTTACAACCCCATCTATAAATATATTAAACAACCATGGTCTCATCACGCATTCACGTCTGAGCCCTAATTTTGCTGGGAAATAATCTCCATGTCTCCTTCATAACCTAACCTGTGCCTGACTATCCTCGTGAAAATATTTAACTGCTTTCGTTAACTATCCACTTATCACATACATTCGCAACATCTGCCACATTGCTTCCCAATCTACACTATTATATGCCTTTTCCAGATCCATAAACACAACGAAAACTTCTTTACCCTTATCTAAGTACTGTTGATGTATTTGCTTCAATATAAACACCTGGTCTACACATCCCCTTACCTACCTAAAAACCTCATTGTTCATCGCAGATGAATATGGACGGGCCAAGAGTCAAATG